TTGGGTCTCACATTTAAGTCTTTCTGCCAACTTGTGTTGATTTTTGTACATAGTGAGAGATTGGGTCCAGTTTCATTCTTCTACATATAGATATCCTATCCTTCCAGCACCATTTTTTGAGGAGCTCGTTCTTTCCCTGATTATGTTCTTGGTAACTTTGTCAAAAATCACTTGGCTGTAAGTGCAGGGATTTATTTTTGTTTTTTCTATTCAGTTCCATCAGTCTATGTGTCTGCTTTTATGCCAGTATCATTCTGTTTTAGCCCATATAACCTTGTAATATATTTTTTACCAAATGCTTCTTCTGCATATTTTGAGATGATTGTATGGTTTTTGTCCTTTGTTCTTTTGATGTGATGTATCAAATTTATTGATTTGTATATGTTGACTCATTGTTGCATCTTTGGAATAAATTCCACTGTATCATAGTGTATTATCTTTTTGATGTGATGTTGGACTTGATTTGCTAGTATCTTGTTGAGAATTTTTGCATCTATTTTTGATAGGGATACTGGCCTGTAGATTTCTGGGTTTTCTCTTTGTTGTTGTTGTTGTTAAAGTTGCACCTTTGGTTTTAGGATCAGGGTGATGCTGGACTCATAGAATTAGGGAGAATTCTCTCCTCTTCAATTTTTTGGAATAGTTTGAGAATAATTCATATTAGTTCTTTGAAAATTTGGTAGAATTTGGCAGTGAAGCTAAATAGACCTGAAATTTTCTCTGTTGAGGGAGTTTTTATTACTGATTCAACCTCAGTATTCATTATTGGTTTGTACATATTTTCTATTTTCTCCTTTCAGTCTTGGAAGTTTGTATTTGTCCAGGAATTTATCCATTTCCTCTAGGTTTTCTATTTTGTTACTGTATAGTTTTTTCATAATAGTCTTGGAAGATCTTTTGTATTTTTGTAGTGTCAGTTGTATTGTTTCCTTTTTCCTTTCTGATTTTACTTATTTTGGGTCTTCTCTCTTTTTGCCTGATTAGTCTAGCAAGCATTTTTGTTTATCTTTTTAAAAAAACCCACTTTTCATTTTGTTAATCTTTTGTATCTTTTTTTTCAGTCTCTATTTCATTTTGTTCTGCTCTGATGTTTATTTCTGTCCTTCTACTAATTTTGAATTTAGTTTGTTCTTACTTTCCTAGTTCATTGAGGTACATAATTAAATTGTTTTCTTAAAAATTTCTACTCTCTAAATGTAGGCATTCATTGTTATAAGCTTCTTTTTTGCAATGATTTTGCTGTATCCTGTAAGTTTTGATATGTTGTGTTTGATTCTTATTTGTTTCAACGAATTCTTTGAATTCCTCGAGTTTCTTGTATGCAGGTTGTAATTAGGTCATTTTTAAAATCTATTCAGCCAGTCTCTATCTTCTAAGTGGAAAGTTTAATCCATTTACGTTGAAGGTTATTATTGATATGTGAAGGCTTATTCTTGTCATTGTATTTATTGATTTCTCGTTGTGTTGTGTATCGTTTGTTCCTTTCTTTCTTACTTTTTGTTTTTCAGTGCGGTAGGGTGGAGCTTAATTGGGCAGACCTGCCCACAGGGACCCTGGTGGTGCATGTCAAGCAAGGTTGGCTGTGGTAGTTAATGGGCCAGGTGATTACCAGGTCTCTGGCGGTATGCTAGGTGGGGGGCCACAGTGGCTGTACTGTGACCATGTTACTGGAGAAGGCGAAGTTGCTTTCAGTGGAAGACTCCACAGGCAGGCAGCTAGGGACACAAACTTTGCTAATGCTTTAGCCCCAGAGGCTGCAACCCAGCACAGTGGCAGCTATGAGCAGTGAAATTTACCCTTGGGGTACAAAAACAATGCCCCATTATCCTTTTGCTGTGGGAGCAGTGCTGATGCTAGTGGCTCGCCCTTTGGTCCTGGCTCTGACAACACAAGCAGTAACAACCAGCAGTGGTGGATGCTGGGGGTGCAATAGACTTTTATCGTGGCCACCCTTCTGGAAGGATGTCACTGCCAGCAACTCCGGACTCAGCTTTGGCAGCAGTTGCCTGCATCAAAAACTGTTGTGAGTCGGGAAAGGTAATGGGGCTCCAGGAATGTGAGGACATAAGGGCTTTGGGATCTCCAAGGCAGCATGCAGTCTGGTGGGGGCTGGGCTTTCAAAATGGCACCTTGTTGTAGCTGCTTAGGACTCTGAGGGTGTGTAGAATCCAGCATAAGCTCCCTCTCTAAAGCAATACCTTCTCACAGTCTCCAGGCAGTTTCCAGTGATGATCTTAGGTCCCATAAAGGCCAAAGGACCCTCCCATGGCTAGGATTAAAGGAGCCCCTAGGGGGAATGTGTACTACTGGGGATCTCTCACTTATTATTTTTCCAAACTGGAGAGTGTCTCTAGGCTCCCAGGTGATCCTACCTCAGCAAGCTGCCTCACTTCCCTCCCCTCCCTTGATTTAGCTGTTTCTTATCACTTCTCTGTTGAATTCCAGTATTCTGTCTTAGAAGATCTGTTTAAGTTCTCTACCTGCTATTTTGGTTCTTCTCTGTGGAAGAGGCAAGTACCTGATGTGTCCAGTCAGCTACCTGGAAGTCAGATAGTTTAAGTCCTCCTATTATTTTTCTTTTTCAAAATTGTTCTGGTAATCTATTATATTTTAAAATATACATTTCAGAGTTAGTTTGTCACTTTCCACAAAAAAGACCCAATGAAATTACACTGAATCTATAAATCAATTTGAGAATAGTAGACATCTTAACAACATTGAGATCACAAATCTATAAGCATGATGTGTTTATTGATTTATTTAGATATTCTTTATCTCATCTGTATTTTGTAGATTTCCTCAAACAGATCTTGTATATACTTTCTTATATTTATCTTTAAGAGTTTCATGTATTTTGAGGCTATTACATTTGGTATTTTAAATTTTGCATTTTCTAGTTGTATATTCATAGCAAATAGAAACAGTTTGTAAATAAACTTAGTTCTCAAAAGGTACCTGTGGATTCCTTCAGGTTAACTGTGTAAATGTTCATGTAATCTATAAATAAATATTATTTACTTTCTACTCTCATATATATATGTTATGTCCTTTCATGTCATATTGCATCGGCCATGACACAAATAAAAAGTTGAATAAAGAAGTAACAACTGTGTATTTTTCCTGATTTTGAGAGAAATATATTTAGTCTTTGAATGTTAAGTGTGATTTAACTCTAGGATTTTTCTTTTCTTTTTTTGAGACAGAGTCTCCCTCTGTTGCTCAGGCTGGAGTGCAGTGGTGTAATCTCAGCTCCCCGCAGCCTTGACCTCCCAAGTTCAAGTGAATAGTCAGCCCCACAGCTACCTGGGACTACAAGCATGCACCACCACTCTGGCTAGTATTTTTGTACTTTTTATAGAGATGAGTTTTGCCATGTTGCCCAGGCTGGTCTCTAACTCCTGGTCTCAATTGATCCACCCATCTCAGCCACCCAAAGTGCTAGGATTACAGGTGTGAGTCACCATGCCTGGTCAATGATTTAATTTTAGGTTTTTGGTAAATTTATTTAATTAATTTGAATAGACCTATATCACTCCACTAAAATCCAACATCTCCATCAATTACTAAATTTCTATAAGTATGTGAACTTATTTCTGTGTCATTAAATTTTTTTGTTAATTATTACTTTCTATTAACATGTTTTCATTACTCTTTATTTTCCTTTTTTTTTTTTATTTTTAGATGGAGCCTCGCTCTGTCACCCATGCTGGAGTGCACTGGCGCAATCTCAGCATCTCAGCTCACCATAAGCTCCGCCTGTTGGGTTCACACCACTCTCTTGTCTCAGCCTCCCAAGTAGCACATTCTACTTCGCCTGGCTAATTTTTTGCATTTTTAATAGAAATGGAGTTTCACTGTGTTAGCCAGGATGGTCTTGATCTCCAGATCTTGTGATCTGCCCTCCTTGGCCTCCCAAAGTGCTGGGATTACAGGCGTGAACCACTGAGCCCAGCCTATTTTACATTTTAATGACTGTTTTGGGTGGACATTAATTACATGCCCTACCACTCCCCTCAATATTCTGGCTATTCTTATTATAAGCTTTGTAATTAGCTTCTCTGGTTCTTCAGAGATTGTATAGTTACATTTATTGATACATTGGGATTTTGAAAATTTATATTTTAATCTAGAGATTATTCCTTATTATAATAATGAGTTTAAAAGTATTCATTTTATTTGTTCTAGTCATCTTTTTTGTTTTTAAAGAATATTTCAAAGAGTTTATCATAGGAAGCTTGTCAATTTGCTGTTAGACTTATTCTTAATGTCTTTTATCTTTTTAAAGAATTTCCACTATTAATAGGAGTCCTTCTTCTGTGACACCTTCCTGAAGTTTCTGCTTCTTAACTGCCCTGCCTTCACTCAATTGTTGACGTTCATCATCAAACCATTCAGTATGTAAGCACTGAGACGAACTCCACGGAATTTCTTGAGGTCCAAAACATAGTCCAATACCATAGGTGGCATTTTCAATGTCCAAATTCAATGAAACCATTGATATGTTCCTTACTGTAAGCATTCTCCTTTGAAAATCAAGATTATTAAAGCAGCAACGAGCAGAGTTATCAGGACAAAAGACAAAAATTATTCAAACAGATAACTAAGTAACTCTAAAGGAGATCATTTCTACTTGCACCCCTGTATTCCTGTATATGTGAATTTTGCCCAGGGTAGTGGCTTTATATTGGTCAATATCTCAAAGTTTATATAATTCTTGTAGGACACCACCCAACTCCACAAGATGTTGTCCTAGCCCACACTGTAAGTCTGGTTTCAGTAAGATAGTCTGAATTTTGAAAAGACAAATACTTCTAGATGTGAGGCCTGTAATAACACCAATGATTTACATAGCAGGAGGATATGGGATACTGACAGCTTCTAATGTATCTTTAAGTCCAGTAGAAGTAGTGATGGCAGCACTGAAGGACGAAAAGACCTGTAAAACACCTGCACAGAATGGGTGTATATTCGCCCCATGAGGGCAAATCCCTCACCTCAGAGGAGAAAGAAGTACAAAGTAACCAATCTTCCACAGGGTAGTTGATTGCCTTTCCCCTCTCTTTGAACAAAGACACATTGTGGGCTCAGTTTTGGAATCTGGTATTGGCAAGTTGAGTTCTTGGTAATGGAAGTAGCCAGAGGATATATTGCCAAAGGCAGAGACCTAGAAAACAATGTTTGAAGGGGTCAATTTCTATGATAGAGAGGAGGGCAGGACAAGCATAAAAAGCAGATATAAAAGCAACCGGGCAAATCACTGGCACAGGAGCTTTTTTGTGATTACTTTCACATGTATTTCCACTTCCTCCCCTTCAATCTTATTGTGCTATTTTAGTACTTCTAGTATCTCCCCTTATACATTTAAATATACATATCCTGTTCTGATTTCATCAAGTTTATATTAATATAATGTAATCCATAATTTTAAAGGGTAAAGCAATCTACAGACTAACATCATCTCTAAATAGAAAATCTAGAGGTTTTTTTGCCAGTTCTCTTCACAAAGGGTGTTGGTGTTATTGTTTTTCCTTTTTAAAATAATTTTTTTTTTCATTTTCTGTTCTGAAACTGTAATTGCTTGGCCCTTCAGTTGAATAAGTTGAATGTTCATCTATACCATGTCCTTTTTCCACTGTTTCTCCAATAATCTCTCATTTGTCTTTAATTGGCACAAGAGTTTTCTCCTGAAAATCCTTTGAACTCTTATTCTAAGTATGAGATTTTTTTTCCTAATCCATAGAAAAATGGTCACTATTCCTATTTGATTTATGAAAACTTTTTTAAAATAAATGTTCTTCATTTGTTGTTTCTATTATCCCTTTTCTCCTGAGTAGGTTCCTTTTCTCATAATTCATCTTGTTAATAAAGTTCTTCCTCACCTAGTTAATTTCAGAAAATTCATGTCAAGTAGGATTAGGCACTAATTCAGGCTAGCAAGGATTATTTGTGGTTCACATAAATTCCTTATGAGATGGTTTATGCGATGACTGTATTTAATTCAAATTTTAGATTCCTTTTTCAGAATAAAGTAGGCTACTCATTGTTTATAAGGTTATTTCTGAGGTGCAAAATTATCTTCTTCTCTCCGTCTATGTTTTCATACATCCTGAATTCCCCCATGCAATCTTGGCTGCCACAGTCAGACAGAGAAAAAGTGCAAGGGCCCTTTTTTCTTGTATCTGTAATGGAAACTTAAGTGGGTTTTTCTGTTGTTGTTGCTGTTGTTTTGCTTTGTTTTTTCAATGTTTATTTCTTCTTCAGTGTCAAAGTTCTGAAATATATTCAGCAAATATATTCTGGCTCCTTAGAATCTTCTCTTCCTCATCAAAACGGTCTCACTGTGTGTTTCCTTTTCACTCTCAGAAACTTGATTTTCAATGGGCCAAAGATAGTTCTAGCCAAGAGCCCATGCAACCATTTCTACTTCATAAAACAAAAATCAGTTTTGGGTTTGGACCTATATGGTACCACTCTATCAACTTTGGGCAACTCCGTGCTGCTACCTTTTTCTAAGATTTATAGTAATTATGTTTTCTGTGGACACCTTCCCTTTCCCTCTTTGATATTCACTGCATTAAGAAGCCCTTTCTCCTAGCTACAATAAAGTACAAAAGGACACGTATCAATTTTACTTTGAAATTCTAATACTGTAACAATATAATAATTAATATGCAATAAAATCCAATTCCATTTAGCTTACAAAACTTTCATAGATTAATGTTTCTGTAAACTATACCAACTTTTTTTTTTTACCATTTCATCTGGCATGAGAAAATAATCATATACTTTTAAGCCAACATTCTCTATTAACACAAATTTCTGTGACAGAAAAAAAGAAAGAAAAATTATGTTGATCCTACTATTGTTTCTTCACTACTATAATTACATCTATTGATTTATTATTTTTCCATTTATTTTAAAATGATTAAAAATCTAGTAAAATATGTAACTACATGAGGCTTATGGCTCAATAACCTGATCATTTCCCAGAGTGGAGAAAAAAACATGAAAATAAATGCAGTTTAATATGTGTTAAATAGGTATCTATATAAAGATGCAATGGGCATACCAAGAAGGGGAGAACTAAATAAGAGCTTTTATTCCTTTCTAAACTAGTAGATAAATTATTTTTAAAATAGCATTAAAAATCAAAACAAGTTATTAGCTCTTTCAATGTTAAAATGTATTTGCTGACAGTCTAAAGGTCATTGTCAAAGAAGAAAAAATGGTAGAGACTAAGCTAATGCTACTTTAAGAAGATTTAAACTCCCTCTATCACTCTGTAAAAATCTGATGAATGGAAGATTGTAGGTAACATGGTATAAACTAGGGTATCAAGATTTAGAAAAAAAAATGAGGCTGTTTAGATGCTCCTGAAGAATGCTGAGTGGGAGTGCAAGAGATTTAAAAATTCAGTGATTTTTTGTAAATGCCATCACATGTTGTTCTTTTCAGCATAAGGAATGGTCCCAAATGCCTTGACATTTAAGCATGTGCACATATAATTATTTTCAAGCCTCATCCTTTTAAATCTGATTTGAGATAGAAAATTTTTCCTTCTTTCTCCTTTTTCATGCATTTTCCTGCTTATCTTGATGGTTTTTCTTCCCACCACATAGAGCAGCAATTTTTGTAAATGTTTCTACATTTTAAAGCCGTTAACATCACATGTGTAATTCACAGGAATGAAAATCCTCAAAATTCATAGGAATGAAAGCCCTCAAAACTGGCTCATTCAATCAAATTTTCCTTCCTTGAAATAAATATGAAAAACTAGTATTTGGAGTAAATCACATTTTATATATATATATATATCTTCTCTCCGTCTATGTTTTTATACATCCTGAATTCCCCCATGCAATCTTGGCTGCCACAGTCAGACAGAGAAAAAGTGCAAGGGCCCTTTTTTCTTGTATCTGTAATGGAAACTTAAGTGGGTTTTTCTGTTGTTGTTGCATCTTAGCCATCCACCATGAGAAGAACAACACTTGGGAAGTGTCTAGTCACAGGGTAAGATGACACATGAAACATCACTGAGATCAACTATAACCTGATGACAAGTTCAATATATATATATATATTTGAATAATTTCTCAGGTGAATTGATAGACAAACACAAGTTTTGCCAGCAATAACTCAAAATACATGAGTTCTTCATCTGGGAATTTCTTTAAATTTGGAAACTAGATTATATAATCATTTGCACACCTACATCCCAAAAATGCTTCACATACAGGAACAATAATTTTGTTGACTAAATTTTACAATTGTAGCAATAAATTAGTCTGATTATATATAACTGACTATTTTAAATGCACTTCAAGGTATAGTCATAAGAGTAGGGAGTTTTATTATAATTTTCAAGTAAGAAATATTTTTAAGCTGGTCTGACTTCATAAGAGTTTTTCTGAGAAATATCACTTTGTCAAACATAGGTAGTCTACCAGCTTCAGACTTCCATATGTCTTTTCCTTCACTGACAAGTTTTTCAAAGGGTTAGTTTATAACATCCATCCACTTCTCAACGTATTACAATTTGTCTTTGCCTCCAACATTATTCAGAAGCTGGTCTTAATGACTTAAAATTGGCAAGCAAAAGACACATTGTATCATGATTTGAGTTCTGTATATGGTAGGATACTGTTTTCCTTATCCTACTCATTATTAGTTTCCCTACTTTAACTTCAGGGACTCTCTCCTTTCCTGATTTAATTCCATTATTTCTTTACTTCCATCCATGGGGCTATTATTTTAACAGTAGTGTTTCTGAGGATACTATCATCACCTTCTTTTACTTTATCCACTCTCACTAAGAGATACCATCCAACCCTATTATTCCAAACACTACATACAGGAGATTGCATTGTTTTGGTCAGAATCCTCCTTTTTCTCCATATCTATTCCATAGTTGCTTCTGGGAAAAGTACATTTCCCAGTCCCTTTGATGGTAAGTTTGGCCATATCACTTGTTTTGGTTAACGGAATATGAGCGTAAAGACAATTTGCTAAGTGCACACTGAAGCTTCAAGAGACATCCTGCACTTTTGCTCACCCCTCTTGCATCTTAGCCATCCACCATGAGAAGAACAACACTTGGGAAGTGTCCAGTCACAGGATAAGATGACACATGAAACATCACTGAGATCAACGATAACCTGATGACAAGTTCAACCTAGTCCAGTAGAGCTACATCAAATCCACAGACCTGGGAACAAGAAATCAGTGTCTGTTGTTGCAGAGCTTTGGGGTAGTTTTTATGTAGCAGTTTTTGAGGAAAATATTTGATACTATACTTGTTAATGACTTTCCAAACATTCTCCCGAATTTTAAACAAAAATATCTAACTGTCATTTGAATTTCCCCAACTAGATGATTCATAGGTACCTCAAATTCAATGTGTATAAAGATGAACTTACTTTCTCTCCAGGTAACATAATTTTTCCATGTTATTTCCTATTTCAGTGAAGAATAATTGCATCTGTCTATTTTCCAAGCAGAAAAAAAAAACAAGGTGCTATCTTTTTTTTTCTCCCTCTTCCTTGGCCTATTGCTGATTGATTAATCATCAATTCCTTTGACAGTAACATAATTTTATGAACTAATGAATATATTTTCACAGCATTTTATGTATCCCTATAAGCTGACTTACTTTTTGAAAAAAACAGAGCAGAATATAAACAAATAATCAAAAAGAATTCTGTTGACTTTTTCTTTTCAGTAGCTCTAAATTATTTACTCACTTCTCCAACCACACTGCTATTACATTTGTTTAGACATTTATCTTTTCTTGCAAAGAATGACACATGCCTTCTAACTTCCTGCAGGTTACTTACTCTCCAGCATGTTCTCCACTCTTCTTCCAGTGTCCTTTTTAACATAAAAATTGGATCTACTTAAAGTCTTCACTGTTTAGCTACTTTCAGAATAAATGCAATCAAAGAAGAAGATATACACTCAACTTGCTATTCAAATATATTAACACATTACAGCTCTGTGAAAACAGAAAGCTCTCCTGGTTTTTCTCATGTTTTTTAAAAAACTAGTTTCCTTCTCATGAACATGTCTTGTGCCCTCTACCTCTAATCCAGCTACATAGTCCACCTGATCCCTACTCATCTTTCTCAACCCAATTCAGGTGTTCTTTCATCTGAGGACCCTTCTGAA